CTCTCTCTCTCTCTCTCTCTCTCTGTGTGTGTGTGTGTGTGTGTGTGTGTGTGTGTGTGTGTGTGTGTGGGCTGGATGATGCTATGTGGGCTAGGCTGGAGGAACACCGTTTCCCTACCAAAAAAAGCAGAGTACCCACCCACAGAAGAGAGAACCGATATCTACATGAAAAGACACACAATCACGACTCTCACAAAGCAGAAAAAAGAAGAGCACACTGCGTAGCTACCTTGGGTGGTACTATGTGCGATGGCGGCGTGGGTTGGTTGGCACCATCTGCACTGGGTGGTCTGGCTGCAGGGAATGATGTATGGCACTGTGTGGCATGGGCGGTATGTGGGCAATGCTGGTAGGTGGGTGATGCTACATGGGCTGGCTGGTGCAATGCGGGGTATGTGGGCAATGCTATGTGGAAACCCCCTCTACCCCCACCCCCACCCCTCGTGGCCTTCCACAGAAAAGGAAGAACCAAACAGAACTTGCTTGTTGTGAAAAAAAAAGAAAAAAGGAGAGAGAACCAAGGGGCACAGTCCCACTTATTGGGACATTGCTCCCAAGGTGCTTGGGGTGATGTAAGCCCTTTTGGCTGTGTACTTCTTACATCATTCTCATCTTATTCCATCACAGTTTGGACTGCTGGCCTGTTTACTAACATTATATAACTACTGTTCATCCCTACCGGCCAGATGAATAGTTGTGTTTCCTCTTTTTTTTTTTTTTCGTGAAGGGAGAAGGCCCACTGGTTCTACATCTACAATGCTATAAGAATCGCTAAAGTCATATCTACCGGCCCAGGTTGCGGCCCGGTCACCACCCGCGGACGGCCCAGATCGCAAGCCGATGAGAAACTTTTCTCATCGGTCTGCGATCTGGGCCATCCACAGGTGGGGTCTGGCCCGCAATCTGGGCTGCGATACTGTTTCGGCCTGCCCAAACGGCCCTTCTGAACGCGCGCCCGCGCCCAGCCTTGAAATCGCCCTTTGAAGGGCTGTATATGTGCCCGCCATTCGAAGGGGCGGTGTGTCACGCAGGATTTTACTTGTGGTTGCAATAAATAAAATAAATTAAATAATGCAAGGCCCTTCCTGTTGTGTGCGTCCGGCTTCGAGCGAGACCCTTCAATTGCGGTCTTCGCCGGTCACTGGTCTTAGGAATCTTTTATTTTGATTCGGAACAGCGGAGAATCATGCAAACAAATAATCATAAAATTATGGGGTGCTCTGCATGCATCAATTATGTCAATCTGATTTTGAGAATTGTGACAGAATTATCCACAAATGCAATCATCAAAACAAGAACAATGGTAGAGACAAGACAGACTGACTCGAGCAAATGACAAGCTCAAATGAATGAGGGAATAATGAGAACTCGTAATAGTCTCAGGGAGTACATATGGAAGAGAACATGGCCAGCACCAATCAAGAGTCCTCACTCAACCCTCAGAACTTCACTCTTCATCTGTCACTTTGTTGCCTGTCGTCTGGGCCTCTTGTCATGTCTCCGTGCTCTCTGAGGTTGTGGCTTCTGAATGTAAAGCCACCTGAAGCCCATTACTTTCAGACACTTCCAGCTAAGTCCCATAATACGGAAGTCAAGCATGGCACAAAATTCCTCCCATAGAGTGGGGAGATAGGGCCGAGAGAAAATGCCCCTCCTGAGATGCGGAAACTCGGGGGGCTCGGTCACTGCCTCATTGTCGATCACTGCGGGTGACGTGTACCTCTTGGCCAAGTCTACCAATCCGCCCCAATAAGAGCCGTCAGTGAGGTAGTAGGGGACCGGAGGCTTAGGATAGCCAGTGAACAGCTTAGGACCAAAGTTATAGACTAGCTTTGTGTTCCCCTGGACCCTCTCAGCTTTCCACTGCATATACCCGACTGCTGCTGCCTACACCGCATCAAAGTGAGGGTGTGTCTCGTTCCCCATTTTCAGGAAGATGCCTTCTGTGAACTCGGTGAGAGTGATGAAGATAGACAGATCTTCTCGCCTTAACCCATCCTGACATTCTTATAAGGGAAGCTCTCCTTGGCAGCAATCACGTTGAGATTGTCAAGGACCGACTGGTCAACTGTGATGGGATTGCTCTCTCTCATGTGTTTGGCAAATAGTTACTTCCAAATCGAGAGAAAGGACTGTTTGATTGACGGGCGTTCTGAATGTTTGTTTGCACGACTTTCTGGTGTTGCTCTGAACACCTTTTTTGAATGCTGATTAGGATGCTGATCAGAATGCAAATTAGAAGTTGATTGTTTGCTGATTGATTGTCTTCTGACTGCCTGCTATTCTGGATTGACTGTTTACTTGCTGATAAAAATCTTTCGCGGATCGAGTTGATTGTTGCTTGCCGAAATAGACGGCAATTGTCGCTAGGCGAACAGACTATTAATTGTCATCTTAAGCACTGTCCGGAAGGTCATTCGAAGGTTACCTGAAAAATGTTTGAAAGTTATCTGTATGTGGCTTGGTCATCACCAACGGCAGCGTGCACTGCACACCGGAAGCACCGTCGAGTGCTGATCAACATCCACAGCACGAAGTACCAGAGCTGAACTTCGCCGAGTGAGTTCTCTGGTTGTCTGAAAGTTTATTAAATAAATGACTGAATGACAATTAAATAATGATTGAGTAGTGATTGAGTAGGAGTTGAATTCTATTATGTACACTGTTCCAAGCTCTGAATACTGCTCTGAGCGCTGTTCTGAGTACTATTCTGAGCTCTGAGTACTGAATGCTGCTTTGAGTACTGTTTGAATATTCGTCTGAGTATTGCCAGAATATGTCTCTGAATCGTGATTCACCATGTCAACATGCTTTAAGGGGAGGGTGCAATCTGTTGCCGTTCAAGGTTGATAGAGCTCTGAGGGTGGAGATTAGAGCACTGCAACGTCGTGAGACAGTTCGGTTCCTATCTACCGTTGGTGATTTGAAGAGAACTGAGAGAAGCCATCCCTAGTACGAGAGGACTGGGATGGGTCAACCTATGGTGGACCGGTTGTCATGCCAGTGGCATTGCCGGGTAGCTACGTTGGTATGGGAGAACCGCTGAAAGCATATAAGCGGGAAACCCCTCTTGAAAAAAGTTATCATACAAAGTGAAAGATCATCACTTGAATAGGCGAGAAGTAAAAGCACCGTGAGGTGTGAAGCTTACTCGTACTAATTACGATTCCGACTATCGGGGATAATGGGGTGCCCTGGCATGTTCCACCGTCTCTAGAGAGGAGCTGGCACTGTGCATCCTACCATTGTCTTCATAGAAATAGATCATA